TGAATAGGATGATCCAATTACATGAGGTGATCAGTACTCAATTCAATCACTCTAACTGTTGGGTGTGTACTATGATTCCCCCTAGTGTACGGCACAAACCGATAATAGCCCTAGCGGTCACAGATCCTAATTTATTTTATGCCTTATTGACAAAGGAGACAACCAATAGTACCCTAGCTGAGAGACCTTGGAAGGTGGCGAGAGAGAATGGGCTGCTGGTACACGGAATATCAGGAAAAGGAATAGGATTGGTCCTTGACCATGGCAGAGACTCAGAGATGGTTATGATGGGGATCACTGATTATTATCAGGACCACGGGGACATTCAGGTTGTATTAAATGGCTGTGTTAACATAGAAAACCAAACTACGTGTCACTGCCTTAAGGATTGCTCCAACTGTTTTAATGAAACCTTGAAGAGGTCATTAAAGGAGTTGAATGTAACGGAGGAATGTGAAGGGGATTATGAGTTCACTGATTTAAATATGTACAACCAGTCTCTGAAGGAAATAGTAGACTCCCAATTGAAAAACCACCACATGAGCGTTGAAGCAAGAGTGTTACCCAGTTCATATTATTACGTGTGTGGCCGAAAGGCCTATAAGTGGTTGCCGCCAAAGGCAAGTGGTACATGTGTGCTCGCTAGATTAATTTACACCACTAGAGTTGTCAATACTACGGAATTATGGGAAGCCCACAAAGGGAAAGGTAAAAGAGATCTGTGGAAGATAAAATGTACTCTATTGCAGCGGCGCAAAGGGAGATGGACCAAATTGGGAAAAAGTACTCAGTATCTCTGTTTGGGGATGCTTTTAAGGCATGGACTTATGCCCCCTCGTTCACAGGCTGGGGACATGAAATGATTAATAGGGTAAATGATTATGCTAATGCTTCTAATATTATGATGGTACATGTTTTGGAGGCCCTGAAAGAGGAAACGGATGAGCTAATCGAAATACGAAGGCAGGTGATTGCTAACCACATGGGATTAGACATATTGTTTGCCTCACAAGGGGGGTTATGTAAGGTAATTGAACAGGAATGTTGTACCTATATAGTTGATAATAGCTATGATGTGGAAAAGCATTTAGCAGCAGCAGAGGAATTGCAGGGGAAAGTGCATGATATTTCTAATCATACATTGGACTTATCAGAATGGGGTGGAGGGTGGATGTCCTGGCTGAACCCTCTATCATGGTTCAAGGGAATAGGAGAATTGTTTAAAACCTTTTTGATAGGACTGTTGAAAATTCTGGGGGTAATCTTAGGGGCTGTTTTATGTTTGTATTTATGCTTCAGATTGGTCATATTTGCATGTGTAGCAATTTGTAAGGGAAAAACTAAATCTGATAAGAAAACCTCAGATGTTCCTTTTGATTTCCTTAAAGAAATGGCAGAAAGGGAAATGTCAAACCTATATTTCATCATTGATGACCTCCACGATGACCTATGTTGTTATGCTGTTGCAACCAACTTTTGTAAGGATATGTCAAGTCATGGTAAGCCGTGTTGGCGATAGGTGATAAGCATCCGTGAAGACCATGGGTGTGTCAGACTAAAATGAATGTATACAAGAGTTGCGATTTGTTGCTGACTTCGGAACACCTCCTATACAGCTACTATATTTTGTGCTGCTGTGTTCCCCATATATATATGCTAATAAAACAATCAATTTGGAGCCATTCTTGCCTACAGGTATTTTATCCCTTTACACTAGCAGATACAAGTAAGTCTCTTACCTGTCACTACAGATAAAATGAATCTTTTACACAACTTAACACTCACAGACAACATACAGGAACTGGGCAATGACATCACTACCAACTTGTTTTTATTAGTGCAAGCTCCCGGGTCATTGTAATAATCCCAAAACGAGCAGGCAGGATGGAATATTTTATTGGGTGCATTCTTCAGCTGGGGCAGTGACTTGTAGGAAAGGTAGGATAAGGTTGACAGCCCCATAGCTTTACTGTGATATAATGTGTCACTACATGTTCACTTTCATATGCTCAGTGTGACTGCCCTGGGACATGCACAGTGTTGGAGAATAACAACTTCACAGGCTTTTCTGGCTATGGTCCAGCAAAACAGATTTAAATTGCAGCTTTTAATGAACCAGTAATAGAAATGTCAAGTCCATAAATCTCTAGTGAGGGGAGATTGAGGAAGGACTGTGATTTCCAGCATGGCAGTCTTAGCTCTGAAGTCTACTCCAGTCTTTGAACAGCCACCAATACATGATATATATGTTTTTAATTACCATAAATAGCCTTTGAAGTGAACATGTGTCCATATTTCAGTATTTATAAATGCTGACCAAGCAGTAAAAAAAAAACAAAAAAAAAGCTTTAAAACAAGATCTAATTTACTTTTGTAGCTTTGTCTGGCTCTTCAGTATAATTTATTCACAGATCTGCTCATCTGTGGATGAAAAAATCTACATGTTTCGTCTGCAACAGAGGGACTTGTAGTTCTCAGTGGGGTACAAGTATAGTGATGTCAATGCAGTTGTAATTTATGGACTACTTCCTATATGTGAAAAATGTGAGTATGTGCTACGAGGAGCGGCTCACCTAGTTAAGCTTCAGGAGAACAGTGTATGCTGCCAGGACAGGGAGTACATTACTAGGCGGCATCTGAGATATCGTCGTTCACTTGGCACTTACTGCCTCAAAGTGAAAAATGTTTTTAAGCTGTTTCAAATGCTAGTTTAACCACTTAAAATGGATGCTGCTCCTTGATTTTAAAGGGGTTCACTTCCTGCAGAATCAGCTGGTCCCCTGGGCACTGATATCCTATTTTACGGTGGCTCCTTTCCTTTGCAGGGGCCTATGGAGCCACCATTGTGTCTGCATTCACAAACACACAGGCATAGCAAGGAAAGCCACTGCCCAGTCCCTCCATGTTGGTAGATGGACAGCTGCATTAACCCTTTCCCTGCCACCGCCGTACGGCAGAACAAAACTGTTCCTGAAACGCCAGCTCAGTATGCCTTACGGCGGGGGCATTTAGTTTTGCTATAAACTCATGGTCGCTTTAGCGACCATGAACTTATAGCAGAACTGTCCCCTGGACGGTCCCCTTTAAAATTAATAGCCGTCATCAGCGGCTCACAAGCCGCTGATAACTATTACAAAAATGTCAGGCAGGCAGGGATCTGTGTCTCTATGGATCCCCGCTGCTCTCCCCCGCTTGTATGGCAGCAGCGGGGATCCGAAAAGAAATGTCCAGCGGGGGGGAGGGGGGAGGAGCCAGTGGTGGCTGGCGGGGAGAAGGAGAGAAGCCACAGCTTTCTGGATGGCCGAGCGGTGAGATCGGAGCCGCTGTCAGTTTCTGAATGACAGCGGCTGTGTGCGTTGCCGACCGGAGGATCGGTACATATCAATGAAATGTACCGATCCTCTGTGTGCAGAGCAAACACTATAGCGATCGTCTGCTCACTCGTGTTTGTAAATAACTGGGGACACATAGTACTATGTGTCCCAAGTTATGAATGAACAGGATGCGATTTACATCACTCCCTGTTCATTCATGATTTTCTCAAATGGGGAGAAGCACTCGGTACAGAGGCTCCTCCACTTTCCAAAATTGCTTGATAGTATATATTTTACTCTCAACAGTTTCTGAATGAATGGGAAGCCTCTGTACTGAGTGCTTCCCATTCATTGAGAGCTGAGGCTGCAGAAAAAGAAATGAGGACTGTGTCCTCAATTTCAAAAAGGGAAATGTGAGATGTGGCAGCGCATGGCAAAGCTTTGGGACTCATTGCCATGCGTTGATACTTTGTGTTGCAATTAAAAGATACACCTGTATCTTTACCACAACACAAAAACGATTTTTAAACACAAGTTGCTTATACACAGTTTTGCATTCCTTCATTTACCTTTTTTTCAAAATAGTTATTTATTAACCACTTGAAGGCCATAGTGTTTCACCCCCTTCCTGGCCAGGCCATTTTTCAGTATTCAGCGCTGCGGTACTTTGACTGATGTTTATTCCGTCATGCAACGCTTTACTGAAACGATTTGCATACCATTTACAATACAGTTTTATCTGTTAGGTTTAGTCAGAAAATAATTTGTTTTGCGCAGATACTGATAGGGCTTTATCAATTGAATTGTGTATTTTTATCGGTTTAATATGAATTTGAGAAACATTTGCGCAATTATCACAGGACCTACAAATTTAGTAGCACCATCTTTTTATTCTACCAGGCCTGTGCTCAGAAAATATATGGTTTGGGTTTTTTGCTAAAATGGTGTTGTCAGTTGAGGTGCAAAATGTTCTGGAGGGCTTGGCAGCAAAAGGGTTAAAGTAGCCAGCCAGAATAAGCATTGGTGTTTTAACTGCTTTTTTTTATGCTGGTGCCTCTAGGTGGCAGAACAAAATAGGCGTTGTCCCCAGTTATATTTTTGCAGTGAAACACAAACTAGACTAATACTAGAACATTCTCTGTACAAAGATGATCATAGCAGATAGGGGCACCAAAATTTGCATGTCTACAGGCTCCAGTGATGGAAATCTGCTCCTGTGTATCAGAATGGAAGGTAGGGGGAATAACGTGTTTATGTAAACATTACTGGCATTGAAATTACCAGCAGTAGAACTAAATTACGTACCCATGAAGGAGGGTATACTAGAAGAGCACACGAGTGCAAATTGTGCCCATACTTTCCAAGCATGATATAAAAATTATTTCACTTTAGTTACTCCCAATCCCAACAGTGGCCTCTGCCATGATTTTAGACTGTTTTGGTCCTTGCCTACCTTTGCATGCTCCACCTCCTCATGTTGCCCTCTTATCTAAAATATTGGAGTGGGAACCGCTCATATGGCCACAGCAGGTGTGCAGAGCCAAGAGTTCAAGTGCAGTTTAAAGCTTTAGCATTTGGCAAAATGCCTGAAAAAAAAAATCAGCTTTGGGTTGACTGATCCTTTATTGGAAACTGGTACCAAGACCAATTCAGGTTTGGAGTGTGACAGAGAAAAGACAGACGACTTATTAGAACACATGCTGCTCTTTAATAAAAACAGGTTAATTGTACAAAAACCCTAAATACCAGTGTGTACACTGTACACAATCAAATGACTTACAAGAATGAAGTTACATATATACACATACAACTGAGGATCTTATTTGTAGGGCTTTTTAAACAGTCTTGGGCCATGAATGGCCTTGCTGAAAGAAGCAGGGGGGTGGGGTGACAATTGTATGCTACAATGCCACTGGTACTAAAGCTTTTGAATTAGTTGCCATGCAAGACACTAACAAATACTAAGCAAGCAAAAGAAAAAGAAGTTTATTTGTAAGTAACAATTCTTCTTAGAGGCACCGAGTTCACTCCTCAGCCGCCATCTTGCATAGGTACTCCTTGTCAATTTTAAAGAGGCGCCAGCCTTCTTCAGTGGACAGATCTGATGCTCCACGCCTCTTGTAGAACCTGATCGATGGCTCATTCCATTCTGCCACCAGGAAGTGCATGCTGCTACAACGACACTTCACAGCAATCTAACATATAAATAGGACATGGTCAGGTTGTGTACACTGAAAAGATGCTTTGGTTGCTATACAATTACAGTTTACAAGAGTAACACATGTTGCTTGAAAAAAGCCTAAAAAACCTCCAAAAACAGGCCATTGCCCTTGAAGGGCATTTAAAGCTTAGTGTTGGAGTAAGAGCAATAAATAGTCAAGACCCCCGTCAGATTTTTCTTTAGACATGTCATATGGAGGATTTTTTTTTCCACTTTCTCAGCAGAAACCAAGAGGGCAACAAGCAATTTCCCCATTGGAAGATGCCATGCACCTCTGTTCCATCTAAAAAATGTGGAATTTGCTTCACTGTCTGCATGCATGCATGCATGCATGCATGCACACCATGCATCTCCCCAGCAAGGACAGCACGTTTGCAAGCTTTGATTTGGATATGCTCTGCCAGTATTGGCTATGCACCCTCTATACTTTGGGTGATCATGTAGGAAAGGCTGTTTATATTACACAGCAACAGCCACAAGCACCCCCAAAATATATATGGTACCTTTTCCTGGGACACTCAGACACTGTTTAGTTTCTTTAAAAAGCTGGTTATTGATTGCCGATACACCCTGGAGGTCTCCATTTATTGCCATGTACATCCGAGGATGGGATGTTAGATTAGAGTTGGGGAGCACATTAAAAAAAGGCACCTCACAGGGCAGTGTGGTTTCCACACAGATTTGCAAATGCATGCTACCAACACCACTACCTTTAATATAGTGTTTGGGTACTGGCAGTTTTAGTAACAAACACCTGACAGGATGTTTAACTCAATTTACCCAAAATGTTTATACAATTTAAAATGAGGCACTTCTGTATTCACTAGGTCTATACAAGTCCCACCTTTACATCATGGCACAGTTTCCATTTCAGACCAACTCAACTATTCTAAGAACTGGCAATGTGCAGGGGGGAGGATAGTAGCTTAATATATTCCAGTTACAATATGGAATAATTTCAGACACAACATGTTTAGCCGAGTTCTTTAGGCATTCAGGACAACCACATAAGCAAGGTCTAAGTTTTTATAGGCACTTGGGCTAGACTAAAGCTAGTATTGATTAACTGCAGTTACAAAACTGTCAAGAGTTGGTCGTGGGGCGGTTTAAGAAATTCAGTTGGGCAATTTTGATTTTACATATGTTCTGGTGTGACATGCATCTGGCTATATTGTATACCACTGCAGGAAATCATCATGCCCTATATAAACCACCCATAAAACTGCCGTATCGGCATTTGAATTACTCACCTGACTCAAGTGCTTGAATATCTCTGACCCGATGCCTGATCCTATAAAAAAGAGAGAAATCAATACAATCTGCCATTCAAATCCAGACAATAAATAAAAAAGCAAATGCTTTTAAGATCTGAAGATTCAATGCATACCTCTTAACTCATTCATGACAAAGAAGTCTTCCAGGTACAGAAGTTTTCCTATCCATGGGTCGTATGTGAAGTAGTACATAGCAAACCCAACAATGGTGTATCCTGTGAAGAGAGAAAAAAGTTTAGCAGGGATCATAATAAAACCCAAGACACATTAGCAGCCATCTTATATTGCCATCATCTTGACATACACATTTCATAATACAATCAAGACACCTGACACCGTCTCATTTTAATGAGAAAGTATTCAGATATTTTATGTGGTAAAACCACCAAGCAACAGCAGCAAGACAAAAGAAAAAACCATTATGCAAGTTAAGGAGCATTTTCCTTGTACACGGCAGTTCAGAAAAGTTGTCCATACGCGAACATCTTCAAAATGATCCCATACAAAGATAGAAAAGTCTGTTTTAGTTAATGAGCACTAAATCCCAAACTGAAAAGATGGATTATAGGACGACAA